GGCTGTTGGATCCCTTGTAACTGGAGTTACAGACAGTTGTTAGCTGTCATGTGCGTGCTGGGATTCGAACCCAGGTCTTCTGCAAGAACAGTCAGTGTTCTTAACCACTGAGCCATCTCTCCAGCCCCTTTAAAATATTCTTTTAAATTATCTTTTAAAATTATGTGTGAGTCTAGCTCAGTGGTTAAGAACACAGGCGGCCCTTGCAGAGGACCCGAGTTTGATTCTCAGCACTCATATGGTAGCTAACAACCATTTATAACTCCAGTTCCAGGGGAATCTAACACCCTCTTCTGATCTCCATGGCACTGCATGCCAAGGGTACACTTACACACATGCTGGCAGTACACTCGCACATATAAATTTTTTAAAAATTATGGGGGTGTGTGTATGTGCATGTGGGTGCCGGTGCCTGTGGAGGCCAGAAGAGGGCATCAGATCCCCTGGAGCTGGAGCTAGAAGTGGTTGTGAGCTGCCTAACATGGGTTCTGGGATCCAAACTCGGGTCCTCTGCAAGAGCAGCAGGCTCTTTTAACCACTGAACTATCTCTCCAGCCCCCATCTGAGGAATCTTTTTTTTTTTGAAATAGGGTCTCACTGTAGTCCCAGCTGCAGCTCTCTACTACTGAACTAGACTATTTTTTCAACCCCCACTCCTTTTTTCTTTTTCTTTTTCTTTTTTTGGTGCTGGGGAGGGAACCCAGAGTCTCATACATGCAGGGGAGCACTCTCCCACTGAAGTTCTGTTTTGGTGCCTGGCACAGAGGTGTGACTTCCCTGGCTCCGCCCCATGGCTGCCCTCCTTCCCTCCCCAGTATTTACTGCTGATGCTCATAGTATATATCTTCGAGTGTGCCTCCTGCATCACGTCCTACACCCACCGTGATTACGTGAGCCAGCTGGGGATCAGGGGCTGCGGGTGATGTCCCTGGGGAAGGGGGTGGCGTCCCTGGAGGACCCAGGACAGTGGGGGTGGGCCGAGCTCCCTACCCAGCCTGCTGCCTTCTGCTCTTCCTCACCCTCCTTCCTCAGATGGTGTCCAACCCATCACTGATCACCAAGCAGATGCTGACTTTCTACAGCTCAGACTCCGACCAGGGCCAAGAGCTGACCCGCCTGTGGGACCGCATCATGATTGAGGTGGGCGGGGCTCTATGAACCCACCTCCAGAGGGAGTGCTTAAGGAAGTCTACACAGGGATGGGGTGAGGGAGGGGAACATTTGGTTTCCATAGGTTTCCAGGCATGTCAACAGCCCCAGAAGGGGAAGTCACCCTCTGAGGGTCACCATGTTGGCAAGCGCGCTGCGCGGGCGTGGGGGTGGGGGGGCTGCTATTGTAAAACTGATCATAATTCTCCCTTTGTTGTAATAATGATATTAACTTTAAAAATACCGTATTTATTATTTTTCATTTTATGTGTATGGGTACATGGCCTGAATGTATTTAAGTGCATCCTTGTTATGCAATGCCTACAGAGGTCAGAAGAAGGCGTAGGATTCCCCTGGAAGTGGAGTTACAGTTGTTAGCTGCCAGTGGGTGCTGGGAATCGAACCCAGGTCCTCTGCAAGAGCAGCCAGGGCTCTTACCTGCTGAACTATCTCTCCAGCCCTGATAATAACTTTATTTATTTGTTTGTTTATTTATTTATTTATTTTGCTCTTTTTGAGACAGGGTCTCCCTGTAGCCCCAGCTGTCCTGGAACTCACTATGTAGACCAGGCTGGCCTTGAACTCATAGAGATCCGCCTGCCTCTGCCTCCCGAGTGCTGGGATTAAAGGCATGTGCCACCACGCCCAGTGATAATAACTTTTAGTATGTACTCCAAGCTGGCCTTGAACCTGCCATTCCTTTACTTTTGCCTCCCCAAAATGAAATTTTTGTTTGGTACTGTACAAAGCATTGTGTGTATGTCTGTATGCGCCATACATAAAAGGCAAAGGCAAGCATTCTACTATTGAGCTAGATCCCCAGCCCCTTTTTTCGTTTCGTTTCTCTTCTTTTTTTTTTTGAGACAGGCTCTCCCTGTAGCCTCAGCTGTCCTGAAACTCACTATGTAGACCAGGCTGGCCTTGAACACACAGAGATCCTCCTGCCTCTGCCTCCCAAGTGCTGGGATTAAAGGTATATGCCACCATTTTTTTTTCCACCCTTTGAGTTAAGGTCTCCATACTTCACTCAGGCAGGTTTTGAACTCTGTAGCATAGGCAGGACTTGAACTTGTGAGTCTCTTGCTTCAGGCTCCTGGGTATCTTAGAATCTAAGGCCTGGTCCACCATTCTCAGATCCTTTATCGTATTTATGTATTTTTATTTTTTATGTGTATGAGTGTTTTGCCTGCATGTATGTGAGCGTACCCATGTTGTGCAGTGCCCACAGAGGCCAGAAAAGGACGTCAGATCTCCTGGAACTGGAGTTACAGCCAGTTATTAGCTGCCATGGGGTGCTAGGGATTGGATCCAGGTCCTCAGCAAGAGCAGCCAGTACTCTTAGCTGTGGAGCCATGTCTCCAGCCCCTCCTTTATTTTATATATATATATATTTTTTAAATATTTTATTTACTATTTTTATGTGTACAAGTGTATTGCCTGCATGTATGTGAGTGCACCCGTGTCGTACAATGCCGCAGAGATCAGAAGATGACGTCGGATTCCCTTAGAACTGGAGTTAAGGACAGTCCGTAGCCGTCATGTGGGTGCTGGGAATCGAACCCAGGTCCTCTGCAAGAGCAGTCAGTGCTCTTAACCACTGAGCCATCTCTCCAGACCCCTATTATATTTTTTTAAATGTTTATTTATTGGTGGTTGGGGAGATGATACACTGGCTAGGTTCTTGCCCCCAGATCATGAGGACCGGAGTTCAGATGCAGGGTAGGCATAGTGGCCCATCTGTAATTCCAGCCTCAGAAGGCAGAGACAGAGATATCCCCAGGGCAAGCTCACTAGCATATAACTAGCCATACTGGTGAGCTCTGGGGTTGACTGAGAGATCCTGCTTTAGTTAATCAATTTCATGGCCTCACATGCACATGCACACACATGCATATGCACACACATGCCAAAATGTGCATATACTTACACATTTATACTACCATACACACACACACACACGCATGAAAATGGAAAAAGAAAAATTTATTTATTTATCATTTTGGGGGCGGGAGTCTTTGAGACAGAGTCTCCCTGTAGCCCCAATTGGCCTGGAACTCACTATGTAGACCAGGCTGGCCTTGAACTCACAGAGATCCACCTGCCTCTACCTCCCGTGTTGGGATTAAAGGCGTGTGCCACAGCTTCTGGCAGCACTTTGTTTTTTGAGAGTCTGATGAAACCAGGCTGGCTCTGAACTCATTATATACCCAAGGATGACCTCGAGTCCATCTGCTTCCACCTTCCTGAGTGCTGGTATTCCAGACTTGAGATACCACACCTGCCCTGCTCAGAAGCCATGCTCTTAATGATAGCCAACTTCACACTACATGAAAAGAGGAAGAAACTGGATTTCAGCTCAGCCCAAATCATACAGCTGGCCAGTAGCTGAACCATGTTTAACAAATGCCCAGGCCTGTCTTTTTATCATTTAAGGGATACATAATTAAGCATTCACTTGAGCTGGGCTTGATGGTGGTTGCCTGTAATCCCAGCACTTGGGAGGCTGGAGCAGGAGAATCTGGAGTTAGAGGCCAGCCAGGGATACATAATTGCCTAGAGTCTGAGAATAGCCTGGGCTACATAGTGAGCCCTGCCTCAAAAACCACAATAGGGCAGGAAAGATGGCTCTGTGGTTAAGAACACTGGCTGCTCTTGCAGAGGATGTAGGTTCATTTTCCCAGCAGTCACATGGTGCCTAACAACTCTCTGCAACTCCAGTTCCAGGGGATCTGCTATCCTCTTCTGCCCTTCAGGCAACAGGCATACACACGGTGCACATATACACATACAGTCAAAACACTCATATGCATAAAATAAAAATAAATAAATCTTTGGAAAAAAAGAACTCATAACAAACCACATCCACATACTAGAGCTGAGAAAAGCCAGAAATCTATCTTTTAATTTAATTTTTAAGTGTATGTGTGTGTGTGTGTGTGTGCATGTGTGTGTGCGCGCCCTCAGAGTCTAGAGAGGGTACACATCAGATTTCCTGGAATGGAGTTACAGCTGGTTGTGAGCCATCATGTGGGTGCTGGGAACCAAGCTCAGGTCCCTTGAAAGAGCAGCCAGTGCTCTTAACCTGAGCTATCTCTCCGCTCTTGAAATCTATCTTTTTTTGTCATTTTGGCAGTATAGTTGTCAACAAAAGAATTTTAAAAGAAAATGAGTGTGTGATCTAGAATGGTGGCTTAGGACTTTAATTCAAGCACTGGAGAGGCTGAGGCAGGTGGGTCTCTGTGGGTTGAAGGCCAGCCTGGTCTACGTAGTGAGACCCTGTCTCAAAAAAAGAAAAAAGAAGAAAATGAGTAAAAGTTTGACCCAAATCTCCCATCAGCTTCCTGGTCCTGGGACAAATACTATGTGGTCCTTGCTCACTTGCTCACTCTCAAACACATGCTTACTTACACAGACACAGACACACAGACACACAGATACACACACAGACACACACACACACACACACACACACGTCACTTTGAGACCCAGAACTCCAACAAGTTGGGTCCAGCAATGCCAGAGGCCCAATCTGCCTCACCCCCTGCTTTCCCTATAGCAAGAATGCTGTGGCACATCTGGCCCCATGGACTGGGTGAATTACACATCTACTTTCCGGGCGACCACTCCAGAGGTGGTGTTCCCCTGGCCTCCACTGTGCTGTCGCCGGACAGGAAACTTCATTCCCATCAATGAAGAAGGCTGCCGTGTGGGCCACATGGACTACCTGTTCACCAAGGTGTGTCTCTTCCCCTCTGTGTCTGTCTGTCCATCTGTCTCTGGTTCTCTATTTTTCCCTCCCACTGTCTGTCTGTCTTCCAGCCTCTCCTGCCCCTCCTCTCTGGCCTCTTCTTTCTCTCCCTTTCCCCTGATTATTCTTTGCAAAAGTCAGTAGGACACACCCAGGTTCTGTCTGGTTCAGCTCTGACACCTGCAATTCTGTTCCAGTTGTCTAGGATTGAGAACAAGCAACAGGAATAACAGTGACTGAAGCTGGGCCTTGTGGTACAGGCCTGGCTACTCGGGAGGCTGGGGCAGGATGATCCCAAGAACAAGGTCTGCCTAAGCAACTTAGTGAGCTCCTGTCTCAAAGTAAAAGTGGTAGAACTCTTGACTAGATTCATCAGTCAGGGGCGGGGGGTGGGGGTTCAGTGATCTAGGGCTTTCTTAAGCACACATGAAGCCCAGGGTTCAATCTCTAGTTCCACCAAAACCAAAAAAAAAAAAAAAAAAAAAAAAAAAAAAAAAAAAAAAAAAAAAACAGGGAGACCCTGTCTCAAAAAGACAAAAAACAAAACCCAAAACAAACAAACAAAAACAACTGAAAGCTAATCTTGGCGATGTAGGCCTGTAATCTCAGCTGTGGAGGATGATTGCCAGTTTGAGACCAGCCTGCGTAATATAGTGAGACCCTGTCTCAAAAAAAAATAATAGGGGCTGGCAAGATGGCTCAGCAGTTAAGAGCACTGGCTGCTGAGTTGGGTTCGCAGCTTGATTACTAACAACCATCTGTAACTCCAGTTCCAGGGGGAATCCAATGCCCTCTTCAGGCCTCCACAGGTACTGCAGGTACATGGCATGCTTGCATGCAGGCAAAATGCTCATACACATAAAAATAAATACATAAATTAGAGCTGGGCATGGTGGCGCAAGTGTTTAATCCCAGCACTCTGGAGACAGAGGCAGGCGGATCTCTACATAGCGAGTTCCAGGCTAGCTGTGGCTACAGGGAGACCCTGTCTCAAAAAGGTTTTAAAAAACAAACAAACAAAAAAAAAGGATAAAAGAGTGCAGACTAAGATTAGACCTGGTCCAAGTGGTCACTATGGCTGCAATATTAGATCAGATTTGGAGGAGAGGTGACCTAGGGCACACCATGAGCAGGGACAGACTAGGATACCCTTTCTCAAGCCTCAGTCCCATGCAGAGTCCTTTCGTATGTCACCATGGAGCCCTGCCACTCCTTTCCAGACTGACACTGTACATGTTGGAAAACCGCAGCTCTCTAGCCTCCCAGGGCTCAGACTCAAGGTCTTCCTCTGTCCCTCTGCCCAGGGCTGCTTTGAGCACATCAGCCATGCCATTGACAGCTACACGTGGGGCATCTCCTGGTTCGGGTTTGCAATCCTGATGTGGACGGTGAGAGGCGGAATGCCTGCGGTCTGGATGGGATGTGGGTGTAAGGGATGCCAGCAAGGGCTAGGAGGGATAGGGGTTTGATCTGAAGCACCCCCATCTCATCACCTGCCCACCCAGCTCCCTGTGATGCTGACAGCCATGTATTTCTACACCACCCTCTGAAGAGCAAGAAGGGGAGGCCACCTGCCCACCAGGCTCTACCTCTGCCACCTCGATGCACCACAGCCTCAATGCACTGCAGCCTCTGTCCTTCCCTGTCCACCTTCCTCCGTCTTCCCTTCTTTCAATCTCAAGATCCCTTCCATACCTAGACCGTCTGTGTGCCTCATTCCCTGCTTTGTGTGCCCGGACCCCCTGCACCCCATTTAACTTGGCCAATCCGGCCCATCTTCTAGGTGACAAAATATACTGCCCTTTGGGCACCTTCCTGCTGCTGCCAGCCCATCACACGCCTCTCCTGTGGCTTCCTGAACTTTCTTCATGGCAGATGAAGCCATCATTGCTCAGTAGCTTGTGGTTGCTTGTTTGAGATCTAATAGGCTTAGATTGGCCTTAATAAGTCTAATAAACTTAGATTGACTTAGATAGTCCATTGGACTGAGAGCAGGGACAAGTTCTGCTGTGGCTATTGTGTTGTCCCCATCATCACCCAACACATGGCTGAGCATGGACCAGATATTCAATAAATACTGGTTGATTGAATAAGTGAGTTTGTTTTCTCTTCTGTTTTGATTTTTAATTTTATTTTTCAATTCTGTCTGTATATGTATGTATCTGAGTGTGGATTTGTGCATACAGTGCCCTTGGAGGCCAGAAGAGGGTGTCAGATCCTCTAGAGGCGGAGTTACAGGTGGTTGCAAATCAACTGATCTGGGTACTGGGAACTAAACTTGGGTCCTCTGCAAGAGCAGAATGTGCTTTTACCCCCAGAGTCAATTCTCCAAGCCCCTTATTTTGTTTGAGAATAGGGTCTTACTGTGTAGCCCAGATGGTCTTGATGTTTTTGTTTTTTTCTCTTTTTGGTCATTTTGAGACAGGGTCTCCCTATAGCTCAAGCTGGCCTGAAACTCACTATGTAGACCAGGCTGGCTTTGAACTCACAGAGATCTGCCTGCCTCTGCCTCCCAAGTGCTGGGATTAAAGGCATGGGCCACCACACCTGGCTCAGTCTTGGCATTTTAAAACTTTTTATTTATTTATTTATTTATCTATCTATTTATTTATTTATTTATTTATTTATTTATTTATTGGCATTTTGACCGCATGAATATAAGTATACCACATGTGTACAGTGCCCACAGAGGCCAGAGGAGGGCATCAGGCCCCCTGGAACTGGAATTATGGATGATTTAGTGCTGGGAACAGAACCTGGTTCTTCTGTAAGAGCAGCCAGTGCTCTTAACTGCTGAGCCATCTCACTATATAGCCTAGGCTGACCTTGACTCTAAGCTGATCTTACTGCATCTGCTTCTCAAGCACTTAGATTACAGGTATAACCCACCATAAATGACTTTTTTTTTTTACAATTATTTGAGACAAAGTAGCCCCAGACTGGCCTCAAACTCACAACAGTCTTCCTGTTTCAGCCTCTTAGAGTGCAGGCATTCCAGGAGTGACCACTACGCCCTTCTTGAGTTTGTTTTCTTTGGGGGCAAGGGTGAGTGAACAGGAACAGACTTCAAAAGGAAATGGCAGAAATCTAGTTGGCATTGGTGAAGTGTCACATGCAATTTATTGGCTCAAAGACACTGAATCAGAAGGGCCAGCTTCAGGTGTAACTGGATCCAGGAGTGCAGTCTAGGTTTCCAGAAAGCTCCTTCACTCTCAGACAGGCTTTCTCTGGCAACACCAGAATTCCTTTTTTTTTTTTTGTCTTTTTGAGACAGAGTCTCCTTGTAGCCCCAGCTGTCCTGGAACTCACTGTGTAGACCAGGCTGACCTCAAACTCACAAAGATCCGCCTGCTTCTGCCTCCCAAGGGCTGGGATTAAAGGCATGTGCCACCATGCCTGGCCCAGACTTAACTTTTTAAAAAATATATTTTGTTATTTTTTTATGTTTGAGACAGAGTATCAGTATGTAGCCCACAATGGCCTCAAACTCCTCTGTGTGTCTGTGTGTCTGTGTGTCTGTGTGTCTGTGATGAATGTGGTATAGTGTGTGTGTGTGTGTGTGTCTGTGTGTCTGTGTGTCTGTGATGAATGTGGCAGTGTGTGTGTGTGTCTGTCTGTGATGAATGTGGTATAATGTGTGTGTGTGTCTGTGTGTGTGTCTGTGATGAATGTGGTAGTGTGTGTGTGTGTCTGTGATGAATGTGGTATAATGTGTGTCTGTGATGAATGTGGTATAGTGTGTGTGTGTGTGTGTCTGTGTGTCTGTGATGAGTGTGGTAGAGTGTGTGTCTGTGTGTCTGTGATGAATGTGGTATAATGTGTGTGTGTCTGTCTGTGTGTATGTGATGAATGTGGTATAATGTGTGTGTGTCTGTGTCTGTGATGAATGTGGTATAGTGTGTGTGTGTGTGTCTGTCTGTCTGTCTGTGTGTCTGTGATGAATGTGGTATAGTGTGTGTGTGTGTCTGTCTGTCTGTCTGTGTGTCTGTGATGAATGTGGTATAGTGTGTGTGTGGTGTGTCTGTGATGAATGTGGTATAGTGTGTGTGTGTGTGTCTGTCTGTGTGTCTGTGATGAATGTGGTATAGTGTGTATGTGTGTGTGTGTCTGTGTGTGTGTGTGTCTGTGTGTCTGTGATGTGTGTGGGAGTGTGTGTGTGTGTGTGTCTGTCTGTCTGTCTGTCTGTCTGTGTCTCTGTGTCTGTGTGTGTCTGTCTGTGTGTGTCTGTGGTGTGTGTGTGTGTGTATGTGTGTGTTCATCCATACTCAAATACACAGAGGCTGGAGGAGGCTGGTGTCTTCCTCTATTCCTCTCTACCTTATTCCCCTAAGACATGGTCTCTCACTGAACCCGGAGCTTGCCATTTTTTTTTAATGCTGGCCAGCAAGCCCAAGTGTTCCTCCTGTCTCTACCCCACATAGCACTAGGGTTAGGGGTTCGGGCAACCATATTGGCATTTCTGTGTGGGTGCTGGGATCTGAACTCAGATCATTATAGTTGCATAATAAGCACTTTGTGACCACAGAGCCACCTTCCCCACCTCTGGCCCAGAACTCTTGATTCTCCTGCCATGGCCTCTTGAGTGCTGGGACTACAGCAGCGTATCACCAAGCCTTGCTTCAAATCAGAATTTTTTTTTAATTGCCTTTTTGAAATAGGGTCTCTCTGTAGCCCCAACTGGCCTGGGACTTCCTATGTAGACCAGGCTGGCCTTGAACTCACAGAGATCCACCTGCCTCTGCCTCCCATGTGCTGGGACTACAGGCGTGCACCACCATACACGGCTTCAAATCAGAATTTTTAAAACATCACGCTGATGTGATACATTCCAGATTTTGACACACAAGAGACTCTCCTAGCTTCCTGGCCTAACTGGTTTTTCTACAGTTCCTATGAAACTTGGCCCCCATCTCTAGGCACATATGTGACTAACCTGTAACCACATCAAGGAAATGGGGACTGTTCCGTGGGAATCTGCTTTTAAATCACTTGCCCTCCTGAGCAAGTTCATGGTGACTCAGTCTGTGCCGTAGATTCTCTGAGAGAAGCAGAGGCAGCAGAGGCAGCACTGGGTTCTCACCAGCCCTGCCATACCGTGTGAGCGTCACTGGGTCCATCTATGAAATGTGGGTCGTGACAATCTCTGCCTCATGGCACAGGGCCCACAAAATTGAAGACTTTTTTTTATTATTATGGATCAGGGATTTTTTTTAAATTTATCAACCTCAGTATTATCAGATGAAGTGCAGAAATAAGCTGGGTGTGGTGGCACATACCTGTGAACCCGGCACTTGGAAAGTGGAGGCAGGAGGATCAAGAATTAAAAGTAGAGCCAGCCGTGGTGGTGCACACCTTTAGTCCCAGCACTTGCAGGTAAATTTTTGTGAGTTCAAGGCCAGCCTGGTCTACATATCGAGTTCCAGGCCAGCTGGGGCTACAAGGAGACCCTGTCTCAAAAAGACCAAAAAAAAAAAAAAGTTCAAACTCAACCTCAGCTACATAGCAAGGCAAGTTCAAGTTTAAGGAGAGAGAGAGAGAGAGAGAGAGAGAGAGAGAGAGAGAGAGAGACAGCATCTGGGTGTGGTGGTACATACCTTTTGCCCCAGCTCTTGAGAGACTAAGGCAGGATGGAGAGTTTGAGATCAGCTTGGGGTAAACAACAAAACCTTGTCTCAAAATGAGGGAGGGGTGCTGGGAGATGGCTCAGTTCAGAAAGTGCTTACCTTACAAACATGAGGACCTGAGTTTGATCCCCAGAATCCATGTAAGAAAAGCCTGGCATGGTGGTATGTGCTTGTAATCTCAGTGCTGGGGTGACAGAGACAGGCAGATCCTTGGGACTTGCTGGCCACCCAGCCTAGGCTACTTAGCAAATTCCAGGGCACTAAGAGAGAACTTATCTCAAGAAAAAAAAAAAGAAGAAAGGTGAACAATGCCTGAAAAAAACACTGAGGTTGTCCTCTGGCCTACACGTGAATGCTCAGCTCACATACATATATGCACCATCACACACATGAACATGCACAAATGAACACACACACATAAATGTTCATGTTTGTGACCAAAATTAAAACGTAAGAGTTGCCGGGCGTGGTGGTGCACACCTGTAGTCCCAGCACTTGGGAGGCAGAGGCAGGCGGATCTCTGTGAGTTCAAGGCCAGCCTGGTCTACATAGTGAGTTCCAGGACAGCTGGGGCTACAGGGAGACCCTGTCTCAAAAAGACAAAACAACGTAAGAGCCAGACATGGTGGTACACGCTTTTAATTCCAGCACTCCAGAGGCAGAAGCAGGTGGATCTCTGTGAGTTCGAGGCCAGCCTGGTCTATGTAGTGAATGCCAGGCTGGCTAGGGCTACAGGTAGACCCTGTTTCAAAAAGACCAAAAAAAATTTTTTTAAAAAAAAAAAGTCCTCCAAAGGTCATTTGCAGAGGATTTTTAATTTTATTCTTTGATGTTTTCTAATTTTAAAAATTATCACCACTTAAAATATTTTATTTATTTATTTATTTTTATTTTATGTGTATGAGTGTTATGCCTTCATGTGTATAAGTGCACCCATGTCGGCAGTACCCACAGAAGAAGAAGAGGGTGTCAGATCCCCTGGAACTGGAATTACAGAGGGTTGTTAGCTGCATGTGGGTGCTGGGATTTGAACCTGGGTCCTCTGCAAGAGCAGCCAGTACTCTTAGCCACTGAGCCATGTCTCCAGCCCCTAAAATTATCATCACTATTGTCCTGAAACAAAAAACAGGAATTAAATAAATGAAAATGTCCCTGATAGGGGCTGGAGAGATGGCTCAGCGGTTAAGAGCACTGACTGCTTTTGCAGAGAACCTGGGTTCGATTCCCAGCATCCACATGGTGGCTACAAACCATCCTTAACTCCAGTTCCAGGGGAATCCGAAGCCCTCTTCTGACCTCCGCGGCACAACAAAAATAGTAAATAAAATATTTTTTAAAAATGTCCCTGATAGCTGAGCATAGTGGGGGCACATCCGTGCTCCCAGCTACTCAAGAGTCCAAGGTAAGAGAATTGCA